ACATGTGCGACACTTGCCCGGACGGAGGGCGGATCCTTTCTTCAGCGTGTGGCTGTCGCCTCAGCTCGGGGGCGGCAAAGAGGGGGGTGTCCAAGAGGGGGGGGTGCAAATCATGGCCGGCGGCATGTGCGCGGCCCCGCAGGGGGGGCCGGGGACGTAATGAAATAAGAGGAGGCGCCATGAAATCTTGGGAAATATCATGGCCCACGCCATGAGATCCCACCCCCCCTAGTCATCCCCCCCCTCTTTGCCGCCCCCGATTAGCGCCCGGCTCACTCGTCTTACAGCATCGCAGCAATCTCACGGAGCGAGGCCAGGCAGTTTTCAAAAGGTGGCTCTCGCCTTCGCGCCGCGCGCACTCGCCCTAAGCGCTTGCAACATCTGCGCGGATGGAGAGCGGGCCCTTTTCAAAATGCGGCCCTCGCCCTTCAGAGCCGCGCGCGGTCGTCTGAAACGCCTGCCTCATCTTTCAGGATGTCGGGCGGTGGCTCTCAAAACGTGGCCCTCGCCTTTAATTCGGGGATGGACAGACCTCCCTTTAGTAAAACGTGGTTTAGTGAAAACGACCTGAGGCCCAAACCTGGCGGGCGCAAGCCTGGAAAATAACGGCCGCGGCGCCCTCTCGAGAACCGAAAACGGACAAATCACTAATCGACGTGTCACTGTTGGGGGTTCTGTCCACCCCCGATTAACGCCGCGCGCATTCGTCACAATTTCAAGGGTTCGTTCCCATGGCCGAAGTCACAGAAATGGTGTTCTGGGGCGACTCAGGACTGTCAAGACGCAACAGTCACGTTTGGTCGAGGTGTTGAAGTCCCGGGAAATCGAGCTCTGGCACGAAGTTCGATGGTCAAGACGCACTAGCCACGTTGATCTGCGGCGTTGCAGCCTCGGGAATCGCGACTTGGCACGAGTAACTATTCTCAAACGATTGTCTTCTGATGGGCCACTTCCCGCAGTGACAACACATCTTTTGAGAGACATCTTAAAAAAAAGAGCACTTGGAGGGAAGGCTTATTGCAACACTGTTGATGCGTCTTGGGACTGTACTGGTCCTCCTCCTCCTCCTCATTCCCCTGTTCCTCCGTGTTACTCCGACGAGCCGTATACGTCACGGGACCCTTGGCGAAGTGCAGGAACTTGAACTTCTCGACGACGGAGCCCCCCAAGGGAGCCTGGAAACAGGGCAGGAGGAGGGGCAGGAGGCGTAGGTGGAGGAGGAGCAGGACGACGAGCAGGAGGAGGAGACAGAGGAAGAAGAGGAGCGCAGCTTATGGTGCGCACAACTGGATGACACGCTTCGCGCATGCTACCCCGCGCTCGGTGCCCCTCCCCTCCCAAAGGTGCACAACGATCCGAACATGGCCCGCCAAATCTCGAAGCGTTCGCGCTTCGCCTCGCGCCGCGCGCGCATGCTTCGCGCGTGAACATCGGTGAGATGATCCAGGTCAAGGCTTGAGAATCGTCGCTCTGAGTGTGCGCCTCTGGTGCATTAGGCTGCAGCCTGCCCGCGCAGATCCACGACATCCGTGCGGACCGTTGAACATGTGTGTTTATGCTGCTTTTTGCTTCGAGATGAGAGCTGCAACAAGAATCAGCACTTTGAGGCCGGGCTTCGGACATCGAGGCTGGGAGCTCCTCCCAGGAGGGGCCCACCCCGCCAGAGGCTCAGCCTAAGTAGTCGAGCGGGAGTTGCGCCGCAGGAGCCAGCATCCTTCTGGGGCCAAGCGGGCCTCGCCTCGTTGGATGGGCTCCCACGAGGCTTGGCGGTGCGCGCAAGGGGGTGGAGGGAAGGGGGAGGGCTTCTTAGAAACAGGCTGCTTCTTAGAAGGCGCCGGCGTTTTTTTATCTATAGAGAAGGCCCGAGCCTTCCAAGGAGCAGGGGTGCTTCTAAGACACCCTCCCCCCTCCCCCCCACCCCCCTCTGCGCATGGCTGAGAGGCACTCTGTGCAGGGCTCCCCGAGGCCAGGCTGGAATCTTTTCCATCGGCAGCGCCCGCGGTCGCAGAGGCACGTCCTGGCAGAGCAGGCGGGCCGCGATGCGGGCACAGGGCGCACCGGGGCGGGCAGCAGAGCAGAGGGCGGCCGCGGAGGTGGAGGGAGGTGAGGGACCTGGCCGTCGAGAGTCGATCGGGCGTTGGCAGCACTGGGTTTAGTGGGACCTGGTCTAGTGATGCGTACTGGGGGACGCCCCCCCCGCCCCGGCCGCCTCCAGGGCTCTCCAGCCAGGTCCCTGGGTGCGAACAAGCTCGAAGCGCCAGACCACGCGTTTCGAATGTCGAGCCACACCAGCTACTGATGATGCGTATGCTGAGGGTGCTGATGATGCCGATGATGAAGGAATGATGGTTATGATAACAACGATGATGACGATGACGATGACGATGGCGATGACGATGAGGATGAGGATGAGGATGAGGATGATGATGACGATGATGATGACGATGACGATGACGATGACGATGACAATGACAATGACAATGATGATGATGCTGATGATGCTGATGATGATGATGATGATGAGGATGAGGATGAGGATGAGGAGGATGATGATGATGATGATGATGATGATGATGATGATGATGATGATGATAATGAGGATGAGGTGGAGGACGAAGAGGCGAACACAATCCAACGCTCGTACCGTGCGTAAAACGAAGACAGAAGCACAATAACATTGATCGGGATACGTCTGAGATCTGTGAAATCCAACGTTTGTGGAAAATGTCTCCCGCGCCGCGGCCCTTCCACAGCGTTTCCAGAAACGCCCTGGACCGATTCACCCCGAGTTTAGGCCTGACTGAATGACGGGGTCCCGGTGACGGCGCGCTCGCGCAAACGGGTGGTCACAGCTGCCTTCAGTGCCATGGTCTTCTCGAAGCCCGCGGGCGCGGCTTTCCAAGCCACGCTGTACGGGTACCTCTCGATTCCGCCACGCCAGGGTTGGCTCCTCTGTACCCTCGTCCTCCTCCTTCTCGTCCTCTGCCTTCTCCCGCATGTTTCACTTCCTTGACACGGTCCCTGTTTCCCTCGTTCCTCCTCCTCATCTCCTCTTCCTCCTCCTCCTCCTTCTCCTCCTCCGCCTCCTCATCGGTGACCTGAGCGCGCCTGGTCAATCCGTGAGCAACCATCGCAACATAACCGAAAGGAGGATCACAAACAAGGCTCAATGGAAGCGGGGGGCAGCGGGGGGGGGGAATAGAGGAAAAGTGACCAGACTAGCCAAACTTGGAGTCCGACCCTGGAACAAATCCTCTGAGGAGCTTCGATCTCTCAGAGTTCTTCTTGGGCTTGAGGCAAGGGAGCAGGAGCTTGCCTCCTGACTTGGAGGAGGCGAAACTCCCATACAGTCCGTACACAGGTCTTCCTCCTCTCCCTCCTCCTGGAGCAGGGCGCAGACATCACATCGAGCGGGCTCGCGAAGGTGTCTCGCACTTTAAGAAACCTAGGCCACCGACGCCATGATTCTTCACAACGCCGACCCCCGAAGATCGCGACCCATTCCCCGGGACTGGTTTTCATCATGAGTGTCGTTCTTTTGATGGTCCCGGTGCCCGTCGAGAGCCTTCAGGGGCAGCAGATTGGACAATAACCTCCTGCGTTATTTTGTTGTTTTTTTTGTTTTTGTTTTGTTTGTTTCTGCTTATTGTTATATATATATATATGTGGAGGAGGAGGAGGAAGAGGAGGAGGAGGAAGAGGAGGAGGAGGAGGAGGAGGAGGAGGAGGAGGAGGAGGAGGAGGAGGAGGAGGAGGAGGAGGGGGGGGGTTCTGGGAACTTCGGCCGCGCGTGCGCGGCCGAGCGGATCCCGCCGCCGGCGGCAGCCGTGGTCGCGTCCGAAGTGCCGGTCGGCCGCAACGCTCGGCACGGGCGAGCTGCTTTGGCCAGGCGGCCGGCCGACAGCAGCGCTCGCATCTGGGTCGCCAGTCGCCGTCGGCGGCCGCCAATTGGTCGGTCGCACGGCGATGGCATCGACATCTCTCTCTCTCTCTCTCTTTCCCTCTATCTCTCTCTCTCTCTCTCTCTCTCCTCTCTCTGGAAACATAATCTTTTTCGGGTCTCGATGTATTCGACGGTTTTCGGAGGATTGACAGCGTCTTGAGATCTTCGGGACACGGGGTGGTCTCCCTCCACTGCGCCTTTTCGAGGGCGTCCCAGCCGGCCGGCCGAGGCCCCAGCTCTGGCCCCGAACATTTGCAGCTCTCGAGGCAGCCTGACGCAAACGGACCCTCTGAGGAAACAGGGCCCCGAGTTTTTGTTCGAACTTTTTCTTTTGGGGGGCTCCAGGCGCCCTCCACGGGACCGTGCAGCAAAAACTACTGAGGAGGTTACACGCTGTTCATTTCTGGTCGTGCTCACTTATGATTGTGCCCGTTTCTAGTGGCCAGGAAGAGACCCAGGACAGAACAATTAGAAAGGAAAGTATCTTGGCCCCCCAACAAATCGAGGAGTTTTCGAAAAATTAGAAATGAACAACGTGTAGGTGCTCTCAGGCTGTCGGCCGCCGCGCCCTGCAGCGGCGGGGTCCGTCTCGACCTCCACCCCTGCCCCCCGCCTCCGTGGCGCGACGCAGGAGCTCGCATCCGCCGGGGGGGGATGCCGAGCGGTACGCAGTCTCGGCCTCACGCAATTTGCGTTTCTGATGACTGCTGAGTTCAGGTCATGTTCCACGCGCAGTGGTGCACGTGCAAGACGCAGCAGAACCAGTACTCGTCAACCGTTGTGGTCCGAGGACAGCCAGAGCCCCATCCCAGGCTGCAACAAAAACCCAAGAGGCACTCGGGGGCCCTCCCGAGAGGCACCCAGAAAGCCCCAAAGACGCAACGCCACAACAATGCAACGCTAAGCAATGCAGCGGTACAACATTGCCACAATGCCTTCCCCAGCATCGCGACGCAACTGTATGCAATGCTTGAAATCCCTCTTGGCTGGACTCTGTTAGTATCACCATGCCAACTTCGCTCCTGGGAAGCCGCATCATAACCAGCGAAAGGCTCACGTGCCGAGCTCGTTGCTGGTCAAGGTGGCCTCGGCTTCGCCCTCGCCTTCCTGGGGATACCAGCAAAACCATAACATCGATCTGCAGCGCAATGCGGTACAACATTACATGAACATCGCCACGCTCCTAGAATGCGAATATGTGCCACATTTGCAAGACGAGGGGCACATCCATCGCGACGCACTCCGCATTTGAGCTAAGCTTCGCGGATGGGTGTGGCGAATTCGTGCATGGCTCACATAAAATTGGTCCTCTGATCAACATCTGCAAGAACACGTGCATGCGTCGTGATTGCCGGAACCGACCTACTTGTGAACGCAACAGAGCAGCACAATGCGGGCACTGCCAAGCTGGAGTAGAAGCAATGGTGGACAATGGGCTACTGCCCAACTGCACTTCCCAGAGCCTCTACGCTCTCCAGGCCCTGGACGTTCCCACTCGTGTGCAGCATGTGCGATGGCAGAACAGAAACAAGAGGCAGCGGCGGCCCCGAACCCTTGCAGGCATGCGTAGCTAGGCAGAAGCAGTCGAGCTGAGCACTGGACGGTGTTAACACTGCACAGGTCTCGGTGATCGTGGTGAAGGCCGTTGTCATACTGCTCGCGCCAGGCCCGCGCTCCACCCCGTCCCTCGTCTGGGCAGCTTGTCTAGTGCGCTTGGCAGGCTGGCGGTTTACAAGCATGTGTGAACCATCATGTGTTCATGCACTTGATGATGCTGCACCTCGACAACGAAATAAACAAACATACATTTTACGCGTGCGAACACTCATTGCCCCGGGCACATTGGACGCGATTGCCGACATACTGAACGCGCGTAACATGCTCCAACGGTTCCGAACAACTCTCAAACAATCTGGGAATCATCGAAACACCGATGTTATGTGAACGGCTTCCGTAACACATTTGTGAAATCTTCTTGATTAATGGGAGCACATCTTCTGTGTATGATCTTTGACATTATGGTCGCAGTGGCGATGAAGCTCCAAGCATGTCCAGTGTGGTCAAGATATGCACTTTGCAGGACAGTCGCTGGTGCACTAGCGCGTCTGTACCATGCCGATGTGGATTGCGATCGCTCGCCCAATCGAATGACATGCTGACGCCATGCAATTATCGTCACACGGTCGATTTGGTGGCAACGCGAGGGCATTTTTCAACACGGGCTGTCGATGAATCTCGTAGCCACGGCCTCACACACCAGACATGAATGCAGCCTGCGCGTGGACGCGCGTGTAAGCTGAGGGGGACATAGCACAAAGCAAAGCACGCGAACTATGAGCAGCCGAACCGAACTCGCTCGCGAGAAAACTTGGATGCAACGTGCTGGGATGCAGCGGGGTGGCCTCCTCCTCCTCCTCCTCCTCCTCCTCTTAAGGGGAGCGGGCGAGGAAGAGAGGGTGCACAGGGCACAAGCGAGCTTGAGGCCACCGGCCGAGCTCCTCCACTGGCCTGAAGAGCAAGTCGATCGTCTTCTCGCCCTTCGCAGGCACCTCGCCGCGAGCCAGTTGCCGAACCAGCGCCAACCCGCGTCGCGTCCACTCTGCACTCCTGAGAGAATTCTCCCTCCTCCGCCTATCCGCGGTCCAATACGTAGACAACGAAACATGCAACATCGGGCCACACTCTGGACACCTGATTTTATAGGGACTGTCATCTCGCCCTTCGCAGGCATGTCGCCGCAAATCTAATGCTGAACCACCACCAGCCCGCGCTTCGTCCGTCCTGCACTCCTCAAAACCCTCTCTCCTCCGTCTGCCTGCGGTCCAATACATGGGTACCGCAACGAACCATGCAAGAGCGGGCCATACTTTCAACATCCAGATTTCTAGGGATGAATGGCACGTCCCTCCTCTTGCCCGGGGGGCTTAATCCCTTGTGGTCTCGTGGGGGGTCTCAACACTTTCCCGAGAAGCTGGGTTCCCAACAAAACTGGGCCATGCTCTACCCATATGGTTATCGGCAGAAGGGGCAACATCCTCGACGAGCCCGGTAAGAGGTGCGATAACGGTAAACAGGGAAGAGTCAGGTGACGGTGATTCCCCTTTTATGGGTGGCGGTGCTGAAGGCCCTGTGTGCAGGGCATCTGCCACTCCCAGGAAGTGCCCCAGGGTGGCTGTGGGTGGTATGTTCAGAAACGGCCGAGCGCCTGAGCCGAAATGGCCATAGATGTCGGGCAGGGGAGAAGCTACACATTCGTGTTGGCGCGCGGGGGCGTATCCTCGATGAGCCTTAGAAGCGGTGCGATAGCGGTAAACGAGGAAGAGTGCGGTGACGGTGTTTCCTCTTTCATGGGTGGCGGTGCCGTAGGCCCTGAACGCATGGCACCTGCCACTCCCAAGAAACTGATGCCCTTTCTCTGCGATGATAATGATTCGCAAATAAAGCTTGAGGGGGGATATGGGAACCCGGAAGTGAGGCTGGGGATGCCAGGGGCCCCCATCCCTGCGCTGCTAGCATCGGGGGGCCGACCGCCGTTTCACCTAGCCCGTATTTCCCACTTCTTCTGCAACACCGTCACCTCGCCGCTGCGCGCCGATCGCGCACGCGCAAAGGCCGAGCGGCGCCCCAGGTGTGGGTGGCCCTTCCTCCGCAGCTGCCCGCGCGCGCCGACGAGCTCCTCGCCTGCTGCCGCCCAGCGGTACTTCCCAGCCGCCTGGCCCGCTGCCTCTCCAAACAAAGGCCGATGCCGCAGGGATAGGGCGCTCCGAGCCCGTTGCCTTCTCGCCCCCCGCGCCCCGCGCCGCCCCCGCCTCCGAGAACCCGCGGTGTGGGCGGTGTCGCCAAACGGGGAGGCCGATCCCGTTCGCCCCGCGGCCGCCCCGCGCCCTGTCCTCCTGCGCCAGGGGGGGCGACGGGCGCCGCGACAGGCCGACGTCGCAACACGGGGGGTGCACGTGCTGCATGTCCGAATGGCTCGTGTGCTTGCGCTGCTTCGACTCGACCGCCCCCAGGTCGTCGGCGTCTGCGGGCTGTTCCGCGAGCCCGTCGCCGTGCCTCGGCTGGGAGATCGCCCGTTGTCTGGCTCAGAACCACGTGGCTCCCCATGTCGGGGATACCGTGTCTGAGGAAGGGTTGCCAACGTTGTTGCCGTATATCTCGCCTCCGAACACGCCAGCCCGCAGGCCCCACTTGTCCCCGCGGGCCTCCCCGAGCGGCCGCGCGCCGTGCGCGGCTGTGAAGTTGTGAGCAGTGTGTGTGTATGTATGTATGTATTTATGTATGCATGTATGTATGTATGTATGTATGTATGTATATGCGTGTGTGTGTGTGTGTGTGTGTGTGTGTGTGTGTGTGTGTGTGTGTGCGTGCGTGCGTGCGTGTGTGTGTGTGTGTGTGGTGTGTGTGTGTGTGTGTGTGTGTGTGTGTGTGTGTGTGTGTGTGTGTGCGTGCGTGCGTGCGTGCGTGCGTGCGTGCGTGCGTGCGTGCGTTGTGTGTGTGTGGTGTGTGTGTGTGTGTGTGTGTGTGTGTGTGTGCGTGCGTGCGTGCGTGCGTGCGTGCGTGCGTGCGTGCGTGCGTGCGTGCGTGCGTGCGTGCGTGCGTGCGTGCGTGCGTGCGTGCGTGCGTGCGTGCGTGCGTGCGTGCGTGCGTGCGTGCGTGCGTGCGTGCGTGCGTGCGTGCGTGCGTGCGTGCGTGCGTGCGTGCGTGCGTGCGTGCGTGCGTGCGTGCGTGCGTGCGTGCGTGCGCGCGCGCGCGTGCGTGCGCGCGTGCGTGCGTACGTATGTGCGTGCGCGGGGGAGGGGGGGGGGGGGTGGGGCGACGCGCTAGCGTGCGGGCGGGGCTCCTGTCCCGAAAGGTCGCGTGGAGCCCCGCCGCTGCTCGCTCCTGCGCCCGCCTCCGCGGGGGGTCCTCGTCCATGACCACCCGCGCCATGGCCCATGGCCCAGATGAATCCGCCAGGGGACCGTGCTGCCCCTCGTCGGACCTTTGTCCGCGGGTCGACTGGACAATATGTCGTTCTGGACTGCGCTTGCACCCTCTGTCCGCCCATAGCACGAAGAGCCCGGTTGGGTGCCGTCCTCCAGCGCGGCGCGGGGGCCCAGTCGTTCGCGCAGTCGATGAAGTGCCTCATCAAAGCGGGCCACGGGTCCCCGTGCGCACGCAAGGGCCGCCTGCGCATCGTTTCCAAGGTCTGCGCGTGCGACCTCGCTTCGCCCGCTCCTGGTTCATGCATGACCGCGCCGGCTCGAGCGAGGGCGTGCCCGTCTCCTCGGCAGCGCGACCCGGCGAGGCTTCCGCCGACCCCCCACCCCCAACGCCTCGGCGGCTCCTATCCGCGGCCGCGCAGCACCTCCGAGCGAAGTGGGCCCCCGCCGACGCGCGAGCCCCGCGGCGGCGGGGCCCCGGCCGCTCCTCGGGAGGTCGCCGCCCTGGGGCACGCCGCGCGTCCTTCCGCGTGGTCCGCTCAGGGCGAGTCGTGGGCGCTCGCCGCTGCCTTTTCGCTGGCTCCTCAGTAACTGCTTGGTCCGCGAGCTCCCTCGGCGACGGCCGTAGCTCCTCCGCGCCGCCTCGGCCGCCGCCCTGTGCTCGAGTGTTCCCCAAACGTGGGCTCGCCTGCCAAGGGTGCCCGACGCAGGCCAAGGAGGTGGTGGCAGTGGACCACCTAGCTGACTTCCGCAGCCGCTTCAGCACCTGCTCCTCGTCTGCCGATTTGCCAACGAACTCCCTCGTTGGCGCCTCCGCCGCGCTGATGTCCTCGGCCGCCGCCGCCTGTCCGTGCGCCCCCCGAACGCGGGCCCGCCTGCGAACCACGATCAAGGGCCACGAGCCACCGCCGCAGGTCCGCCGCCACACGGGCCTGCTGGGCGGCCCGCAGGTCCGCCGCCACATGCGCCTGCCTCTGCCGCCTCTTGGCGCCGAAATGTCAAAAAATGGCGATGCGGAGGCAGAGGGGAAGGAGGAGAAAGGGGGAGGAGGAGGAGAAGGAGGAGGAAGGGGAGGAGGAGAGGGAAGAGGAGGAGGAGAAGGAGGAGGAGGAGGAGGACTAGTTTTCACTGGGAACACAAAACCACAATTTCGGATCCCTATGCGGATCCCAGTGCGGGTCCCTATGCGAATCCCTGCGCCGATCCCTAGGCGGATCCCGATGCGAATCACGATGCGGATGCCTATGCAGATGCCCATGCGCATTGCCATGCGAATGCCGATGCAAATCCCTATGCGGATCCTTACGCGAATCCCTGCGGATCCCATGAGATTCCCAATGCGGAACAGACTCCTATGCGGATACCTATGCGGACACCTGTGCGGATCTCGATGCGCACCGCGGCGGTGCCCAGAGCGCACTGGGGGGGGAGCGTTACGACAGGGGGGGGGGCGGGGGCCATGACGCCCGTTATGCCCCAAGCAATGAACCACGCTCCCACCACACGGTGTGGTCACCGCACCATTTGGAGACCCCCGTCAAACTACTCCCTTTCTTTTTCAGCTGCCGGGATCCAGGACTTCCACCCTCCTGCTGCGAGACAGGCCGTGGGGCCCTCCCTTCTGTGGCCCCCCCTCCCGTGCCCCCTGGCGCGCTGCAGCCCCAAGCCAAGAGCCCCCGCGCGCAGACAAAGCACAAAAGATGGCTCGAACTTAACCATGTTTTCCGGCTTCGTTTTGTTCTCGCTTTCCATCGTTCTGTCATTGTTCCGCCTTTGCGGCAAAACGAACTCAACACGAAAGCGATCCACGAACTCGCCAAAACACCGTTTAGCTCGCGCCCGGGCGCGCAGGCGTTGCAAGTAGCCAAGATGCGGGCGCGCGCGCATCGGGGGTGGACAGCACCTCCTTTGGCGAAACACCCTTTCGTGAAAGCGATATGGGACAAGACCACGCGGTCGGGGGCCCGCAAACATTGCGGCCTCAGCACCCTCTCGAGACAACAAGGAGAGGCGATTTGCTGACCGAGTTGGCAAAATGGGGGTTTCCATCGACCTCCGAGAACCGGGACATCGCGTCGCATCGGCATGTGCGTCGCATCGTGCTGCATCGGCACGGAGTCGAAATGGAGTCGGTCGGATCGGCTGCGCCGTGCGAGCACCAGGCCGCACCGCATCGACGGAACACCGAGATCGATCGAGAAGCATCGCGTGGGGGTTTGACCACCCTCCGAGCGCCCACGGGGGCAAGACGAGGCAGGCGTGGCGCGTGGGAGGGAAGGACAATGATCCTCTGCAGCTCTGCGTGGGCGCGGCACCTCCAACGAATCCGGGCTGAAACGCACGTACCTGCGGCCGGCCCCCCCCCCTGCAAGGCAAACGAAACGGCACGCTGCCGGCGACGAAGTGCCGTCACGGCCGGCCCGATCGGCTTCCCTTCGGCTACGCCCAGAAAGACACGCGTCGGGTTGGGAGGATCGGGTTGGGAAAATACGGGGCACGGTTGTGTAATAAACACACTCGGCATACGGGACAACACGGGTGATCTGATCACCTCTCCCCAGCCCCCATCCTCCCAACCCGACAGGTGTCTTTCTCATACACGCAAGAGGTGACAATGGGCAAGAGGGGCCTTTGCTGCGCGACCTGCGGTAGGCCAAGCCCGAGCGTGCAAGCCGATACTGCCACATCGTGCTCAGCGATCGGGGGACCCTGGTGGGCCCGTACCAAAACCCACTCCGGCGAGGGGCCATTCTTGCGTGCTTGACGTGCAGCCTATTCTCTCGACTGGGCGGTGCTTCGTCGAGGCTCTACCAGCGCGCGCGCGAAGCCAGCCTCTCCCGCGAGTCGCTCTGCCAAGCTGTGCCCCTCATGCTGCTACAACCGTCGTGCTGTCACGAGGAACGGAACCACGAGGAACGCGGAGGCCTTTGTTAGGTCGGGCATGCCGTCCTGCAGGCGGATTCTGAAGAACATAGGAAATATTCAAAGACGTCAACAAATCAGCAACAATAGTCGAACAAATCGTCCCCAGACTATTGCTTCACTATTTTGGACGCCCGAAATGGGTACGGAAGAAATGGGTACAATGCCCAACAGCAAATGTTGTCCTAAACCAACAGCGGCCGCTGTTGGGCAAGCGGCCTTCTGTCTCGAATGGACACAGGCCGCGGCGGCGTGGACAGCGAATCCTGCTCAAAATGGACATGAACTGCTGTTGGGCATTGTACCCATTCTTTCCGTGCCCATCTCGGGCGTCCAGAACTATTCTTGAATCTTCCTCCTGTGGAGGGACACGCCCGACTTGAGGCCTTCGCCATGGCGTGCCTCGACCACGGCTGCGACCAGGACATGCTGCCCAGCTTGTCGCGGCGGCGGCCCCTGCGAGCGACACGCCGTGCCCTGCGGGGCCGACGGCGCTCCGCTCCGCCCCGCGGGGCGGAGGGAGGCGGGGCACGCCTCGGCACGGTGCTGCTGGCGGACGGGGGCCGTCGCGGGGGCCCGCTCCGCCTCCCACGGGATCGTCCGGGGGTCCCCCTTGGGCCTCTCTTGGGCCATCTTGGAGGCCATCGACCAACACAGAAGGCGGCGTCAATTTGGATCCCCCCGTCGGAACACTCACCATCGCCTCTTGGAGCCATGTTGGGACGCTCTTCGGACGCTATGTGGGCCCGTTCCTCCCACGTGAACATCTCTCCCTTCCTGGGGCTGCCCTGCGCTGCCCCGTCCTCGGCCGCCGCCGCCAGAACGCAGAGGGGGCCCGCGGGGGGTTGAAAACGCGGGGCGCCTCGGCAAGAAGCGTCCAGGGTAGACCTGCCTGTGCGAATACGTTGAACCGTTGGCTCGCCCAGTCAACCGCTTCCAGCTGTCTGCTCACCCAGTCAAGCCGAATGCAACTGCTCACACAGTCATCCCCCCAGTGTGTCTATATATATATATATATAGATTTATGTATATGTATACAGATGTATATCGTGGTATGTGACTTTTGTTTGAATCCGCGGCCCCAAGACCTGCCGAGCCTTTCCCCAGGGGTACACGTCGTTCATTTCTAACCGTGCTCAATTCTAATTATGCTCGCTTCTAATTGTTCCTGGCCCCCTGGTGGCCAGGGAGAGGCCAAGGACAGAACACTTAGAAATGAACGGATCTTGCCCCCCCAGCAAAAATCTAGGAACTCGCGAAGCATTAGAAATGAACAACGTGTATGCACATCGTGGTACGTGGCTTTTGTCCCAATCCGCGGCCCCAAGACCTGCCGACCCTTTCTCTCCCCGGGGTAACTATTGGCGCCCCAGGTCCATTCTGGTGGTCCTACTGTGGCGAGATGGCGGGCCCCCCGAGGCCGAGGTGCAAAGAGAACGCGCCGATGGAACACACTCATACCGTCGGGGGCCTGGGTGCGGCACGTGCAAAGGGGCCCTGGGACACACACAAATAAATAGACACAGATAACAGGATTCCCCATATTTCCCTATATTTTCTGAGTGTTCGTCTTCCCCCACACTTCCCATACTTTCCCACATTTTCCCGGGAATCGATGATTCATTGTGTCTGTGTTTTTTCCCTCCTGAATGTGCAGGGCGAGGGAGCACTTCGCAGCGCTGGGTCTGCGCCTGATGGGCCACCAATTCGCTGAAGGGCCCGCCAAAGCCTCCGCGCGCACAGTCGGACCTGGGCCAGAAGAGCATCGCTCAAGAGCACGAGACCCTCCGTCGGTCAATACAAACAGAACAACTGAGGGTACCCTCCTTAAGATGCACACGAACATCCAACGTGCACGAGGGTAGGGGAACGAAGAATGACATAAACATAGAAACTCGGAACTCCGCGTGCCAGGGAGGGAGCTCCAGCGCCGATCCGAGAAATCCGCGCGGACCCCCGCGTTGTTATGTTTACGCGATTTTCGTTCCCCTAGAAGAACACCAGGGTACCCTCCCCGACTCGACCTCGATCTTATACCTTGGTCCGACTGTATCTTTCGGACCGAAGCTGGCTTCGCCCAGAAGCTCCAGGGGGGCCAAACCGAGGCCCCAGGCAGCCCCCCAGAGGCCCCAAACAGCCCCCCCTGGAGTTGCCCTGGCAGGCCCCTGGGACGGGACCCCAGAGGCCCTTGAGAGCTCCATCCTCCCCCTAGCTTCACCTCCTCAATCCTTCCTCCTCCTTCTCCTCCTCCTCCTCCTCCTCCTCCTCCTCTTCCTCCTCCTCCTCCATCCTTCCTCCTCCTCCTCCTCTTCTTCCTCCTCCTCCTCCTCCATCCTTCCTCCTTCTCCTCCTCCTCCTCCTCCTCTCCTTTCCTCCTCCTCCTCCTCCTCCTCCTCCTGCGGTCATAGCTGCGCCGCACGTGCCCGCATCTATCGAGGTGAGGCCCGCCTTGAGGAACTGGCCGCTCCCCTGGCTGAAACAGAAGTCGGATTTGCGCCGGGCGCACCGCGGGGCGGGCGATGGGCGTCTTCCTCCTCCTCCTCCTCCTCCTCCTCCTACTCCATCCTTCTTCGTCCTCCTCTCCTCCTCCCCTCCTCCTCCTCCTCCTCCTCCTCCTCCTCCCTCCTCCTCCTCCTCCTCCTCCTCCTCCTCCTCCTCCTCCCCCTCGCCCTCGAGGCCGCGGGGAGCCGCACCGGAGGCCGTGGGGGCCTCGAGCCCCGAGCAGGGCGCTGGGCCCGCGGGGAGGGGCCCCGAGCAGGCCCTCCGAGGGCTCAGCAGGCCGCGGAGGAAGCCCGCCGCGGGGCACGCGTCGCCCACTGCACCCGGACAGCCGACGCAGGCTTGTGTGTTTGCTGGCGTTCGCTGCTATCTTGAACTGCTCCCAGCCGCCCTGTGGTGCCGGGTCCTCGCTTTGGAGCGGCAGCGCCCCGCGATCCTCCTTCCTCCTCCCCCCCCTCCCTCCTCCCATCCCTGCCCTCCGCATGTCCGTGTCGGCGCACCACTCACGCGTTTCGTGGCCCCAATGGGGTGCTCCATTTAAGGCCTCATCGGGAGGGTTCGCATGGCACCGCCGCCAAATTTCGGCACACCCCTCACACGCTTCGTGGCTCCATAGGGAGAGCTCCACCTAAGAGCCCTGTGGTAGGGTTTGCATGGTACCGCCGCCGCCCCATTCTGGCACCCCCCTCACACGCTTCGTGGCCCCATCGGGAGCTCCACCTACGGCCCCAATGGGAAGGTTCGCATGGCACCGCCGCCCCAGGTCGTCACACCCGGCATACGGTTCGCGGCCCCATGGGGAGAGCTACACCTCGGGCCACAGTGGGAGGACTCGCAAGGCACCACCGCCCCATTTCGGCATCCCCCTCACACGCTTCGTGGCCTCATAGGGAGCTCCACCTGACCCCCCAGTGGGAGGACTCGCATGGCACCCGCCGCCCCATTTTGGCACCCCCCTCACACGCTTCGTGGCCCCATAGGGAGCTCCGCCTGAGGCCCCAGTGGGAGGGTTCGCATGGCACCCGCCGCCCCATTTCGGCACACCCTTCACACATCTCGTGGCCCAACAGGGAAGTCCACCTAAGGCCCCAGTGGGAGGGTTCGCATGGCACCGCCGCCCCATTTCGGCACCTTCTCACACGCTTCGTGGCCCCATAGGAATCGCTCCACCTAAGACCCCAGTGGAAGG